AGATCTCCATCCTCATATAAAATTTGTGGCACACAGTAGCGACCTCTAGAGCGACTAGAAAACTAGGCAAAAAGGAAGGTCTAGGACCAATATTTCGCGGGGTTACATACACTTGGGACACGCATATTAATAATGCCCTCACAACATAGATGTGTGGGATATACAAAAGTTTTTTTTAGTAGTGTTGAAGGGTTATTTGGGATACCATTTGTTTTTTTTTTACTTACTTACTTAGCTGGCTTGTTACAGAACGGTTGTTCCATAAGCCGAGCTTAAAAAAGATTTCCAAGCGCGTCTGTCTTGTGCGCATATCCACCAATTTGGAAGACCACGTTCCGAGATGTTGTTTTCTACTTGGTCTTTCCATCTAATTCGTGGCCTTCCCCTTCTACGGGAACCATCAGTAGGCTCGTTTTTATACGCCTTTTGAGCAGGCATTCTCATTTATTCCCACAACATGGCCTAGCCACCGTAGTCGCTGCAGCTCAATACGACTGACTATGTCGATGTCCGCGTATAAATTGTAGAGCTCGTGGTTCATTCGACGCCGATATTCACCGTCGACGCAGATCGGCCCGTAGATCTTTCGGAGAATTTTTCTTTCAAACACCCCAAGAGCTGCCTCATCTGCTTGCGCAAGTTCCCATGCTTCTGATCCATATAATAGCACGGGTAGTATCAGCGTCTTGTAAAGTGTGAGTTTGGTCTGGCGGGAGGTGGCCTTGCTTTTGAGTTGTTTGCTCAGACCTTAGTAGCATCGGTTGGCCATCACAATTCTTTTCCGAATTTCAAAACTGATGTCATTCATTTTATTTATGGCGGTACCAAGGTATATAAAGTCTTTAACTACCTCGAAGCTGTAGTTCTCAAGTTCCACAGTTGGTCCGAGTCTACTGGACGTCTTGCGCATTGATACCATCAGCTTCGTCTTCTCGCCGTTTACTGCCAGACCCACTTTGGCAGACTCCTTTTCAATTTGTTCAAAGGTGGCTGTTACCGCTCGCAATGTTCGACCCATTATAACGATGTCATAGGCGAATAACATGTGTTGTTTGGTGTATAGAGTGTCATTTCTGTTCACCTTTGCGCCTCGTATGACCTTTTCCAGTAGGATGTTGAAAAGATCAAACGAAAATTTCACCTTGTCTGAATCCTCGTTCGGTATTGAAGGGCTCCGATAGGTCCTTTCCTACTTTAACTGCTGATCTTGTGCCACTTAAAGTTATCCTGCATAGCCGTATTAATTTTGCAGGAATGCCGAACGTAGACATGTCTTTAAAAACCTCTGAACGGATAGGGCTGTCGAATGCGGCTTTATAGTCGACAAATAGGTGGTATGTGTCGATGTGTTTTTCGTGGGTCTTTTCCAGGATTTGGCGCAGAGTGAAAATCTGGTCAATGGTGGATTTGCCAGGTCTGAAGCCGCATTGGTATGGTCCAATGATGTCATTGACTATTGGCTTCAATCGTTCACACAGCACACTGGATAGCACTTTATATGCGATGGGAAGAAGACTTATTCCTCTATTGGAGACTTTTTCCTCTATTGGCAAATATCGTCTTGTCTCCTTTTTTGGGACACAGGATGCTGAGGTTCCAATCATTGGACATGCATTCATCTAGCCAAATTGTGTTAATCAGCTGGTGCATGCTTCTGACCAGCATCTGGCCGCCAGTCTTGAATAGTTCGGCTGGTAGCCCATTTGTTTTTTATGAATAGTCAGGAGTAATCCCAGTTTGTTATTTTCATAAAAACAGCTATTTATTAGTGGGGGAAAGTATGGCATTCTCCACCAAGAGGTAAGACAGGGAGGACTATTTTGTTTGTGCCTTGCTTTATTTATTATTTCATTTCCTGAAATTCTCCATAAAATGCAGTCATGTAAAAGTGAGTGTTTTTTGGCTTTCTTGGTACTTTTTGTTTTTTTTTTTGTTAAAAAATTTAGCTTGACAGCCCTACCTAAAATTCAACTAGCTCGTTCGACGTTTTTCACCACAAAAGTAGAACACATGTATTTATATGGATGTTACCGAAATACGTCGACGTACGAATTTTCAAAGTAGATTTACAAAATCTACTCGATCTCTGGATTTGTGAACAGGATTAATGTGACGTATACGCAATGGAAGTGACGTTTTCTTAAGGTCTTCAATATGAAATAATTTTTTAAAAAATATATTTTCTTAGTCTTCGATAGACGTGGATTTTTTATAATATATAATTAGATATCATATTTTTGAAATAATTAACAGAACGTGTGGATTTTTTTAAAATATTTTTCTAGGATACTTAATAAATGACAAAAAAATACTTTGCATTTCTATTATATTTTCTTCGACGTAAAAAATGCTCAAAGTATAAACATACACTCGCTTGTTCACGACACTGAATGAATTGACAATTTATATCCACTGGATTAACTTAATCCCTTGTATAATATTTTGTCCAATTCCCGATATTAAGGGTGAATTGTAAAAAAAATGATTATGTTTGATTTATTTTACGTTAATATTTTTGTTTTGCCACTGAAAGTCGTACCCATATTTGGTTGACGGTTTTGAAAAGCCGGTATAACTTCCCATTTTGAGGAAGTAGAATGCATGTATGTTATGTTCCTGTACATTTCAGTTGTAAAGTAAGAGAAAATATCAAAATCACTCTTAGAGTTCAAAATAATACGAAACGAACGTCAAAATCACAGTTTGTCAATCAAAAGTTGGCATTGCTAGCTCCCATTTGGATTGTGTTCCCTTAAATTTGGTTGAAAGTTTTACTAGTTTTATTGGTTCATGAAAGAGTTTCTAGTAAAAAAAAAATAAAAAAAACAGTTAGAAGTGATATATTCTTTTAGGTTCTGGAACGGAAACTTTTTAACAAGTTTATAGATAGTTTTATATAGGTCAACGTGTCTTCAATATGACATTTCGAATCTCAGTGGATACATAACCAAAAAAGGCGTTTGACATAGCCCCCATATTTACTTGTTGATCATTGGCATTTCGATATCTAAGAGGAAAAAATACAAAAAAGGCGTTTGACGTAGCTCCCACGTTTATTATTGTTCAGTGTATTAACGACGGCGAGTTCATAGGAGTTATCGTAGACGGATGCGAATTCGAAAGACCAGACAGAGGTTTGGTATACATACCTCCCATACAATGGGTATTGAAAATTTCAGCCTTTGTACTATAAAATTAATATTAATATTCAGCCAATGCGATAAAAAGTTACAGTTTACTTTTAACTATGTAGGTCTATATAGATAGGCACAAAAACTAACCAAGGACATTGAAAAATTCCTCATTCGTTAATATTCAATGAAAATTGACAGTTTACTTCTAATTTAAACGAATATAGTAACAAGTGTTACAATTTTGCTGTTGATTCACGTTTCAGAATACCTACCTTAAAAAAGACTCTGAAAAGAAACTTTTTATACTACAATTCTTTATAGGCATTTGTTATATTACATTCTATCATTTATCAACTCCGCAACTGAAATTTTTACACGTCGAAGAACATAACTCAAATTTCAAAACCATTATTTAAATATGCAAATATTGAGCATTAAACTAAATGTAGGGGAGAGGGGGCACCTTTGAACAGCGCTAATAAAATATCGGTTAAAAATTTTTCCAACCCGCAAACAATTTTTGTTTTTTTTTTTTTCGTAAATATCTTTTGCTAGATTTTTCAGTTGTGAAAAAAATTTAGATGAGTGAACATGTTTTCGCAGTGCCTGTAAACTTTTAATTTTTTGTTTTAAAGGCGCAGAAAGAATTCAATGGCCGTTTTCTTTAGTTAAACCATTTTTTTGCATACCGACAATCATTTCAAACATAACTAATGTATTTTATTTCATAACTAATGTGGTCACAACAGGCTGACGGACATGCTAAAATTGTCTTGACATATTTCGATGAGTTACAAACGGAACGATAATGAATATACCATCCATGGTGGAGGGCATAAAAAGATAAAAAATGTATACATGACATAGCCATGTGATATCGTTTAATTTTGACATATGGCATTCTTTAAATCGGTTTGTCGTTGCATTCTTGATTAAATTGTTGTTGCATTCTCATTAAAAAACATGAATACATTTTTTTAACTTTTTGCAATCGAGTGTTCGGTTTTTTCTTATTTTATCGATTGACATTCAAAGTTCGTTTATTGATCAAATATGAACAGAATACTTGACTTACAAACATGTACAAAGAATAATTAGATTTTAAATAAATATGTTTCAACGTAATCTACAGCCCAATACACCTAAGTCTGTTTTTACACGGTCTTTTTGTACACGGTTTTGATATAACACGTTTTGAAAATTGAATATTTTTAATTTTTTTAGACGATTTTTTTCCATTTAGCACGATTTGAAATTTTATGTACATTTTTTTGTCAAATTAAATTTTTGCGAAGTATGTCACAAAAAAGTATTTATGAAAGAAAAAAGTCTGAAACCATCGATAGTATCGATAGTTTGCGAACACTAGCTTAAAGATTTAAGTGAATTCCCCTTTAGCGCGTACAGACAAATTATACTGGTCAAAGCAAATGTGAATAGCACTAATTTAGGGGAATTCCCTTCTTCTGGAACCAATCTACCGTGTAAAAACAGACTTAGGTGTATATCAATTATTTTTTACAATTAATAAAGACATTTCTACCTTGTCAATTCAGTTAATATATATGAACAGTTATGAACACTTATTTTTTAAACATTTCTGATAAAAGTCTAATTTTTTATCCTATGCATGGAAGGTACCTAAAACATACCAAAATCGGAAAGTACTACATAAGTGCTACATACTGAGGTGTTCACAACGAACAACACTTTTTTTATTAATTTGTAACTTGACATTTCATAAACCAAGCCTCAGATTTTGTTGTGGAGTTAGTATTTTCGTACGGAAATACGACAATTTCAGGAAAAATAAATTCATACATAAATTAAGTTGGCAAATTCTCTACTAATAATACTAATGTGTGCTCTCTTATGTGCTATTGTGGAGGACGGCAACGGCCTGCAGAATTTCCGGAGAAGTCTACATCTTTTTGCTCGATAATAGGAATGCGATCATCATACAGAGTTGGTGCTTGTAATATTATTCCAGCTGTACCGGCTAACACTGCTAGTGTAAAAATCCACAAAAATAGCCGATCGAGCACCATAGCAACGTACTTCCAATCTTCCTTAACCTGAAATAAATAATAAAAGTGAAATCTGCATTAAAATATCGTCAATTATCAACATTTTTAAAATATTATGCAATAGGTTTAATAAAAAGTAAGTAAATTTCCAATTTTGTTATATAACAGAAATCTATAAAATAATTTGAGTTTTTAAACCCTTCACCACACATGGTACAGGGTATTGTGTCTTTGTGCATATGTTTGTAACAGCAAAAGGAAACGAGATAGGCACATGGTTCCTTTTGAGAATATTCATAGAATCACTTTCTAATACCAAAGACAGACGACAGCCTTAATTTGAATTAAATAGTTCTTAATTTGAATTAATATTTACCCCTGACAGACGATAGTTTCTGCATTTACGAATCAGTTTTTTGTTTCAAAACTATTGTTTGTCTGTGTGTAGGTAGAAAATATTGTCATTTGTTTACATTATTTTTTAGGATTACATCTTTATGAAAAGGATATATGCCAGACAGGAAGAATAACAGCTATAATGATGATAAAACAGCGCCCAATTCGACGGAATGTTGTATTCTGCCTTTATTTCTAATTTTTATTTTCATAAACGTTAACAAAGTTGACAACAATCAATTTATTTATTCAGCATTGCCATATTGAAATTGGTTAGTTCAGTATAAATTCGGTTTGATTTTGTGCATTTACAACACATAAAAATGAGGATAATGTACAAGTTAATTTGAATTAAGGCTGTTAATGCAAATTAAGGTTGTCGTCTGTCTAGGCTATAAGTCGATGTATGCATGACCGCCTGTCCATGTTAAATTGCAGGGTGCGCAAAAATTCGCTTGCGAAAATAAATTTTTTTCGTTTTGTGCTCTTTTTACGAATGAATTTATGGTGATAAATTCTTTACCAAACGAGCATTCGCCAAGGAATGTTCGCACACACATAACAAGCGACATAATAGTTTACATTCGGATGGCTATTAAATTTCTGGGTAGACACTAGGTTCTCATTCGCCAATGTGTTTTTGAATTGTGTTGTAAAAAGTGTGTTATTCAACGTATAAAAAATTCAGCTGTGGAAGCTTATGGCTCTAAAAGTAATTTACGTTTTTATTGACCACCTTATTAAAGAATACGACATATTCATGAAATGTTTAGGAATTAAGGATCGAATTTTTTTTGTCTATAATAAATGAAATTATTACAAAAAAATTAGTTTATGACATTGGATATGTAAAGTACAGTACATTATCGTTGTAATGAGTTTCAAGATGCTATCAGGCCTTGCCGCAAAAAAAAAACAGTAAGGAAAGCAGTAAAGTCGGACGGGGCCGACTATATTATCGCCACTTTGGGTATATTCAACAGATGAACCCTAATAGGCGTCGCATTTTAAAGGACTAGTAAAATCAAATTGGATCCATAAACATGTCATTCTGCAACCGATACTAAATTTTTCATTTGGTCAGATATAGAACCTATATCTAAATCTGAACCGATTTTCAGGAAACTTAACACACATCATTCTAGACCTAATTCCTTACGCTGTGCCAAATTTCGTGCAAATCGAAAGATATATAGGGACTTTGGTGCACCATTTACATTAAATCGGACGAAAATATATATGGGAGCTATATGTAAATCTGAACCCATTTTCAGGAAACTTAACACATATCATTCTATGGCTAACTCATTACCCTGTGCCAAATTTCGTGCAAATCGAGAGATATATAGGGACTTTGGTGCACCATTTACATTAAATCGGATGAAAATATATATGGGAGATATATCTAAATCTGAACCGATTTTCACGAAACTTAACACACATCATTCTCGACCTAATTCAGTACGCTGTGCCAAATTTCGTGTAAATCGAGAGATATATAGGGACTTTGGTGCTCCATTTACATTAAATTGGACGAATATATATATGGGAGCTATATCTAAATCTGAAACGATTCTTCCCAATTTCAATAGAGTTCGTCCCTGTGCCAAATAAGTTACCTATGCCAAATTTCATCCAAATCGGATCATAAATGCGACCTGTACTTTGTTCACAAAAATACATGGACGGACAGAGGGACATGCGTAAATCGACTCAGAAAGTGATTCTATGCATATTCTCAAAAGGAACCATGGGTCTATCTCGATTATTTTTGCCTGTTACAAACATATGCACAATGACATAATACCCTGTACCACAGTGTGGTGAAGGATATACAAAAATGAGAGGAATCCGTTATAGCATCGTACATTTGGGAAAAATAAAAAATATATAGTGAGTTTAATTTGTATAACGATTTTATAGTAAGAATGTTACTTCTTTGGGTCCTTTGTATGGGTGGTATTCTGAAAAGTGAAGCAACAGCTTGTTACTGTCTTCGTCCAAATTATAAGCAAACTGTCAATTTTCATAGAATTTGGCTGAATATTAACTATTTTTTGGCGAAAAAAATACGCATTTGGGGAAATAATATAATATAAATTTCAAATTCATATAAAAATTTGAGTAAACATCTTATTAGTAAACATCAACAAATATTAGCTGGCAAAATATGAATAATTCGTTCATTAGCAGACACTTTTAGCATGACATAAAACTATACTTTTCAACAAACACATATAAATGCGAGGGAGTTTTGTCAGTCCCCTACCGGGCGCGTCCCCAGGTGGCGGATAGGTGGAAGTTGGATGAACAGAGTATCTCATTACTATCAGCTAAACCCTGGAGGTAAAGGAATAGTCTGATCACCCCACTTTAGGGCTTTTTGACCGGCGGACCAAAACTGACTACGGGGGTGTTCCCTTAAAACAAAAAACAAAGATGGAAAGTAAGGAAGATAAAATAAAAGTTACGGTGCAGAGCCTAAATAACTCAGTACCGGCGGGTGTCGTTGATCTGCCCACGAGTCAAGCCCCGTCGCCATCCGGCGATTGTGAGCAAAAATCTCCTACAGATGTGGGTGCATTGGCATCTGTAGTCGAGGGTATCGCTACAAGCACTCAGCCAGCAGGCACAAATAAATAAGACTCGGTCACCACCTGGGAGGCGAAAGCCTGGCCCAACCTACAGAGGCTGGTGGGGACTCAAATTCTAACTCCGGGTCTGACCAAGAAAGTAAGGCCGATATAACCGTCCTAGAATGCCGGAAGAGAGAAGAGTCTGATAGGATGGTGAAATAAGTGAGCAAAGACATAGTGAAGATCACAACAAAAAAAAAAGCAACTATCTGGGGCACAAAGGCGAAAACTGACCAGGATGAACGGGAGAAACAAAATCAAACAGGAGCGGGATGCCCTGAAGGATAAACATGACCTTCCCTCCACTTCCTCGGAAGCGGCGAAGAGGATTAGGTCTCCGGAGGAGCAGACCAATGCCAAACCTTCAAAAAAGAAAAGAGCTTCACCTCGACCGATAGCAAGAGAAGGCTAAGCATGACCCCTAGTCAAGGAGGCTGTCCACAGAATCCATCGACTGAGGGTGGCGAAGCTGGCTCTAATATAGAGAAGACGGGCCCTACACCGAAATCTTCCGACAAGACTGGGAATCCCGGACTTCGCGTAGGAGGGAGGCAGTAGCAACAATCGATAAGGAGCCGCCGTCTTATGCAAAGGTTGCCAGAAGGCGGTACAGGGACGAGTAATCGATGAACGTAGTGCATCCGATAAACTTAAAAAGGAGACGCATGATGAGGTGATGAATGCGGTCAACAAAAAGATCATGGAGCACCTGCGGCAAGGTGGAGAGCCCATAGATCTGAATAGCAGCGAATTCAAAGGGGATGAAGAATGATCGAAGAATGATCGAAGTTATCCAAATAAACCTCCATCGGAGTGAGACGGCAACAATGACTCTGATGGAAAAACTAATTAAAGGTAATATACACATCGGTCTAATCCCGGAACCATGGACTGTTAAGAACAAGGTCTCTGGATTAAACCACATAAATTACCAATTATTCTATGCAAATACAGGTTCCCGACCGAGAACCTGCATAATATGTCTCAAAAACTTATGTTTTTTATTCTCTCCAGAGTTGTCAACACCGGACGCAACCATACTGAAGCACGGGAATGGGAACATTTATCTGGCATCAGTTTACCTCCCATTTGACTCGCCGATACCACCACCAATGGCGAAGCTGCAACGACTGGTGAGAAGAGCAAAAGAAACAGGTAACGAAGTACTGATTGGTAGCGATGCTAACTCACACCTCATTGCGTGGGGTAGTACTAATACTAACAAAAGGGGTGAAACCCTCTTAGACTATCTTAATACTAACGACCTAATTACTCTTAACATAGGCAACAAACCTACCTTCGTTAATAGAATTAGAGAAGAAGTGTTAGACATAACGATATGTTCAGCGAACCTAATAGACGAGGTACAAGAATGGAGAGTCTCACATGAATATTCCTTCTCGGACCATAGATATATTAGGTTTAAAATCCTACGGCCATCGCCGAAACCCATATACTTTCGAAACAAGTCCAAAACAAATTGGATAAAATTCGGAAAACTACTCAAAGAGAGGCTAGGGCAACATAACTATGACAGCCTAAGCACTGACGATATAGACAAAAATGTCAATAACTTAGCGGAAGCAATAGTAAAGTCCTTCGAAGAAAGTTGTCCTCTTCGAGAAAGGAAATCTGCCTTCGAAAAACCCTGGAATACCGGGGAGATTCGAAATAAAGGGAAAGAGGTCCGAAAACTTTATAATAGAGACGCCGCAAGAAATCTACAGTATACTGGGACAACTTCCTCAATAAGTAGAAAGAATACAACAAAATGACAAGAACCGCCAAACGCAACTCCTGGAAAACTTTCTGTGAACAGGTCGATAGCGTAAACGACGTCTAAAAATTAAAAAAGTTTCTGTCCAAAAACCCACACTCAAGCCGAAAGAATGGTAGACAGTTAGCGCAACAGGATGGAAACAACTGAAGAAACAATAAGGCTTCTGATGAACGCTCACTTCCCACAGAACCCATCCATAAGTGATGACGCTACGGTAGCAAGGGAAGCAAGATCTG